CAAGTGGGAGGACATCATCGATAGATGGATGAACAGCAGTCTGAGAGACTGCACTATCAAGACAAGAGACAGAGAGTGTTGGAGATACATCGCAGTCAACCTTTATTGCGGAATCGACACCTAGTTCATTAAAGAAATGTCTTACCCAATTTGTCTGCTCTGTGGCTAAGTCGATGCGAACGCTTCGTAATGCCGGGGGGGGGGGGGGGGGGGCGGGTTCGATCCCAGCTGTGGGCCATGCGCCTTGCGTTGGTTTCGACAGTGGTATCAGGGGGTCGACCATCCAGAAAGCAATGGCAAACTACTGGACGTAAAATGTGCCTAAAGAAACCACACAACAGCCAGGGCCTGCTGCGGTTGGTTCTGCAACGTCCTGTAAAGGATACGCAACTAACTTTAACCTTACCAAATTTAACAAAGACAGATAAACAGACGCCTGAATATAATCGGCGCTTCTTGGTTTGAATCGTTGGTTTCTGATTTTTGCAAACTAAAACGATTGAGCACTGTTTTTGTATTGTATCAGTTCATTTATAAATATTCATTCACACTTGACAGTTTCTTGAGCCTTAGTAGTAAGAGCTGCATGCGTTAGTGCGGTCACAGCAACTTATCATTAGTGACGTCGTCTCAAAAACTGACATTGTCAAGCCGGACAGAGTTAGGACAGCTAGGATTTTTAATTTTATCACCGACTGAAAAATACCTCCATCACCTCAAAGATTTGAACCCGGGTCTCTGTTATGAGAGCCTAGCAATGTAATCACCCGACTAGCTGCTCTTGTATGTGATGTCACACAATTGTTACCGATCGATCGAACAGATCGGTACCTAAAGGTTACTGCATCATCCTGTGATTTTTAGCAAAAAGATTTTCAGAAAAAAAAAAAAATCAGTCTAGATGACAGACCAACAAAGTAGATCCCAGATACCTTGTTCAATCTCCAAAAATGTTATAACTGAGGCATCTTGAAGAGCTGCGCTAGCCTGTTGTAACTCGCAATTTTGTGCTTGTAACCACGCTTAAATGCCACAATGTGAAGGAGGTATATATATATATATATATATATATATATATATATATATATATATATATCTGCAGGAAGCATGGGCCTACTTAATTTGGACACACCTAACTACTATGGCAATTGCTGTGGTGTAACGGATAGATGCTTGCTTGCGAATCTGAAAGTCCTAGGTTTGATTCCGAATGGTGCCAGACATGTGTGTGTCTTTTTTGTTTCTTTAAAAAAAAATTATCTTGGCCCAGCCTTAAATTGGTACCAGGTAAAGTCGTGGGAAATAAGGCGGTCAAAGTGATAGTGACCACTTCCGCCACCGAGTGCCGATTGGTCTATAAAGTACAGGTCTAGCCCTGTATGCCTAATGCTTCTGAAAAACTCAAATCGGGTCCTTTATTGTCTTACGTTACAAGTACTGTATACTTTTATGCCACTACACAAAAGTACTATATACTTACTATAAGTACTATACAAGTGCACAGTTTAAGTACTACAATAAGTATTTTGTAAACAGATTCTGAAAGTACATAGGGCTGGTAAATTGGCTAGAGAAAGAGAGGCTTTCAGGTGTGCTGGGAAGAGAGACTTGTTTTGTAAAGGACCCCTTGGTTAATAGTGATAGGTACTATGAGGGTAGGGCGCCTGATAAATCAGGAGTCTCCCCTCTCTCTCTCTCTCTCTCTCTCTCTCTCTCTCTCTCTCTCTCTCTCTCTCTCTCTCTCTCTCTCTCTGTTGCCATCTACTATAATAGTTTATCAGCCATAGCCACATAATGGCGACATGAAATGTCACTTGTTCCACTTATTAACACGTCAGCTTATGCATTTTGACTTTAAATGTATGTTTTGTGCATGCTGTTTGCATATTGTGCATACATTTCCCTGTAATTCTTGCTTCATTTAATTTGTGGTTGCGGCTTTGGTTGATTTCAAGAACTTGATAACTATATTTTTTTATATGTTCAAGTTATAAAATATAGGACTGTAGTTTAATTGTCGTCAAGTATTTTGGGAAATCGAGATTTAAAAAAAAATATTTACAACCGGACTGTGACAGTGCATAGTGAAATAAATGAAAGTACTATGAGGGACGTAATACTAGTTTGTCTGGACTGGGATCATGTGTTTTAATTATAGTTGTAGTATATATTTAGTATAAGTTTTAACTATAATTGATCTAGTATGCAGTAGTAAGTTTCAACTACAATTGATCTGGAATGTAGTAGTATTTTATAAGTTTCAGCTATAATTGATCTGGAATGTAGCAGCGTGAGTGTTAACTATAATTGATCCGAAATGTAGCAATGTGAGTGTTAACTATAATTGATCTGGAATGTAGCAATGTGAGTGTTAACTATAATTGATCTGGAATGTAGCAATGTGAGTGTTAACTATAATTGATCCGGAATGTAGCAATGTGAGTGTTAACTATAATTGATCTGGAATGTAGCAATGTGAGTGTTAACTATAATTGATCTGGAATGTAGCAATGTGAGTGTTAACTATAATTGATCTGGAATGTAGCAATGTGAGTGTTAACTATAATTGATCTGGAATGTAGCAATGTGAGTGTTAACTATAATTGATCTGGAATGTAGCAGTACTATAAGTTTGAGCTATAATTGATCTAGTAGTAGTAGTACATTTTACCCCACTAGGACATCACACAAGCAATAAACACCCAGTGACACAAAGTGCCACAATGTGGATAAGGATTACCCATGGATGGGTCCCAGAAACCCCTTTCAGCCGTTATGGCCACGATTGTGGCCCAGCTATATTCGGGGCCCCCAGCAAAAGCCAGGGTGGAGCTTCAAAAAACAAAAAATTGCATCACACAGGGGATGATGAGTGTATTGTAATGACTGCTATAATTGGTCTGGAATTTAGCCATATACAATTTTAACTGTTAGTAATCTGGAATTTAGCTGTTCAAATTTCAACTATAACTGATCTGTAATGGGGTAGTAATATATTGTGAGTATAAATTTTAACAAAATGTTTTGTAATGTAGCAAAGGTTTCTGTTGAGTATATGTTTTAACAATAATTGATTTGAAATATAGTAAGTGTATATGTTGAGAATAAGTTTTTAACTATAAGTTTTGAAATATAGCAATAGTTTATGGTGAGTTTAAGTTTTAACCTAATTGAATTTGGCACAGTTTTAACGTGAAATGATCTGGAATGTGGAACTATGAATGTTAACTGTAATTGTTTTTAATGAAGAACTACAAGTTTTAACTATCATTGATGTGAAATACAGCACTATAAGTTTAACTATAATTGTTCTGAAATGTAGAACTACAAGTTTTAACTATAACTGATCTAGAATGTAGCACTGTACATTTTAACGTTAGTGGTCTGGAATTTTAAATCTTATTGATCTTGGATGTAGAACTACAAGTTTTAACGTTAATCGATCTGGAATGTAACCCTATTAGTTTTAACTATAATTGATCTGGAATGTAGCACTGTAGTTTTAACTATAATTGATCTGAAATGTAGCACTATTAGTTTTAACTATAATTGATCTGAAATGTAGCACTATTAGTTTTAACTATGATTGATCTGAAATGTAGCACTATTAGTTTTAACTATAATTGATCTGAAATGTAGCACTATTAGTTTTAACTATGATTGATCTGAAATGTAGCACTATTAGTTTTAACTATAATTGATCTGAAATGTAGCACTATTAGTTTTAACTATAATTGATCTGGAATGTAGCACTATTAGTTTTAACTATAATTGATCTGGAATGTAGCACTATTAGTTTTAACTATAATTGATCTGAAATGTAGCACTATTAGTTTTAACTATGATTGATCTGAAATGTAGCACTATTAGTTTTAACTATAATTGATCTGAAATGTAGCACTATTAGTTTTAACTATGATTGATCTGAAATGTAGCACTATTAGTTTTAACTATAATTGATCTGAAATGTAGCACTATTAGTTTTAACTATAATTGATCTGGAATGTAGCATTATTAGTTGTAAACTATAATTGATCTGGAGTGTAGCTCTGTAATAAATTTGGAATTTAAAACTGTTGTTTTAACTATAATCAATCTTCAGTGTAGCACTATTAGTTTTAACTATTGATGTAGAATGTAGCAGTTGTATATATTGAGTTTAACTTTAATATTCCCATCTGTAGTGTAGTAGTAAAATATTTTGTACATGTTAAAATATTGAGTAGTGTTTGTTGAATACATTGTTAAATAATTGACAACAGGGCTTTTTTTTTTAAATTTGACTGCCACAGTGTCCTAGACGAATGATTGAAGCAAGCTATCATTGCTGTATTGTCTCATTAGATCTTCCATAGGGCTGACATTCTGTTTCTCCATTCAGGTCTGTCCTGTCACTTCAATACCATGATTGGAACCCAGTCCAGCACCTTTGCTGTAGCAATTTCTATTCACTTTAGGGTTTTTCTTGATGTCTTTGTTTCCCCGGTGCCTTTATTTCCCATTTCAGGATGTGTCCAACATACCACCATCTTCTCTGTCTCACAACGGATAATATCAGTGGTTGCTATCAGTGGTTCTCCACACATTTCTCTTATTTTTTTCTCTGCACTTGAATTAATTCAATTGTATTTTCATCATTTTCCCCAGAGATTTGTTTTCGAATGCACTAACTTAGTTCCATATCTCTAGAGATTCTTTAACGTTCACTGATATATTTTAAGCCTTAAATAACATTAGATTTGAAAATAATTTTTACTTGGTTCTAAAACAATCTAATTTAGGCTTCCATATTTGAAGCAAGATATCATTGCTAATTTATGGTGTCACTGTCACAATGATTAGCCTATATGATGACTGTGTATATATATATATATATATATATATATATATATATATATATATATATATATATATATATATATATATATATATATATATATATATATATACGCTCAATCTAAATCTGTTAAAGAGATTTTATATTACAAATGTTTCAACAGTGAGAATGGTACAGCAAGTTTCAAAGCTACAGTACCAGATACAATCACTTCATGGATTGCCAATGCCTTTGCCACCCACCCGACCGTTGGTCTTGGAGTGGCACTCAATACGGCTTCTGTAAGTTGTCAGACATCTTGTTTCTTGTGTTCCTGTTAAAGATGGGGAACTGTTTTCTTATGTTTGTGTTGGAGATTGTGAAGAACTTTTTCTTGTGTCTATGTTACAGATAATGCTTAAATGTTTCCATGTATATGATGGGATTATTGAATGTGAGTTTGTTTTAGAACTGTAAAGACTTAGCATGAGGTTAAATTGACCTACAACTCCAGTTAGAAATAGAAATCATCATCATCATCATCATCATCATCATATGCCCTGCCAACTGGCGTAAGCGCTCGTGCATCTCCACAGATCACGATCCCTGGTTGCCTGCAACAGCTCTCTTGAAGATATCCCTCCATGCCATCATTTCAACCCATCCAGCATCATCTCCCTTGGTCTGCTTCTAATCCTTTTTTTCTTTGATCTTTCCAGTTGTCACGATGTTCTCCAATCTCATTTTGTGGCCAACAAACAGTGTTTGTTTGAAATGGAAAAACTGTTTGTAAAATTGTTAAGCCTGTATTATACAGCAGAGAAGAGAAGACTGAACATGAAATAAACAAAACCTTCCTTCCCAGGAAAGAGAAGGTTAAAAAGAAAAACATGAGATTAAACTATCACTGTATTTGAGAATAGAAGAAAAAAAATAAACATGACAGAGTTGTGCCACAATATTCCAGGGTAGAAGAGAAGAGGACCAGATATGATATAATAGTGTCACAATATCCCAGGGTAGAAGAGCAAAGACTAAACATGATAGAATAGTGTCACAACATCCTAGGGTAGAAGAGCAAAGACCAGACAAGATAGAATAGTGTCACAATATCCCAGGGTAGAAGAGCAAAGTCTAGACATGATAGAATAGTGTCACAATATCCTAGGGTAGAAGAGCAAAGTCTAGACATGATAGAATAGTGTCACAATATCCTAGGGTAGAAGAGCAAAGACCAGACAGGATAGAATAGTGTCACAATATCCCAGGGTAGAAGAGCAAAGTCTAGACATGATAGAATAGTGTCACAATATCCTAGGGTAGAAGAGCAAAGACCAGACATGATAGAATTGTGTCACGACATCCAGAATAGAAGAGCAAAGACTAGACATGATAGAATAGTGTAACAACATCCCAGAATAGAAGAGCAAAGACTAGACATGATAGAATAGTGTCACAACATCACAGGGTAGAAGAGCAAAGACTAGACATGATAGAATAGTTCACAACATCCCAGGGTAGAAGAGCAAAGACTAAACATGATAGAACAATGTCACAACATCCCATGGTAGAAGAGCAAAGAATAAACATGATAAAATAGTGCTACAACATCCCAGGGTAGAAAAGCAAAGATCAAACATGATAGAACAATGTCACAACATCCCATGGTAGAAGAGCAAAGACTAAACATGATAGAACGATGTCACAACATCCCAGGGTAGAAAAGCAAAGACCAAAACATGATAGAAGTGCGACACCACCACAGGGTAGAAGAGGAAAGACTAAACATGATAGAGTAGTGTCACAACATCCCAGAGTAGAAACATGATAGGGTTGTTTGATTACATACAAAGATAGAACAGGAAATACCATGAGTGATGTTTAAATGCTACAATATTAAATAACTGTTTTTTCCGTTGTCCTTAAAAGAGAGATTGACATATTGTTGTATTTTTTTAGGCCTAAGCTGTGGTATCCATGCCTTTTGACCCAGTGCATCCGATTGCAGCAAACATATGAACAGTCACCTTTTCTCTCATGTGCTTGTTGAGGGGCGCGATGTTTTATTCTGGGGAGCTCCCAAAAACTAGAAAAGGGGGAAGGGGGTAAATAATTGTTCAGTACCCTACAAGAAAATACACAGGGAGCTTTGAAGAAAGTAATGTGTGTGTGTGATGTATCTGCAGCTCAAGGTGTTCCAGAGTTTCTTTGTGAGCTTCAGTCTGCCGCCTGTAATTGTCCGCGGTGAGCAGCTCGTCCTGGGGGCGGTGGTCTCCAACTATCTCGACATTGATCTTGAAGAGGTGAGTTTAAATACACACTCACACATACACACACTCAGTGCTGGATTTAGGTATAAGCCAAATAAGCTACAGATTGGTGCCTCACTATCTGCAGGGGCCTTTAACAAAATGTCCCCTTTTCCCATCCGCCACCCACAAATGCAATGTTCTTTTAAAATATTTTTTAATGCACCCTTTTTTATGTTTTTTTTTTAGTGTTTGTCGGGGGTGAGGGGGTGCTTTTAGGTGAGGTGAATGAGCTGATACTGAAGGCTGAGGTAAATGAGCTGATACTGAAAGCTAAGATGAATGAGCAGATACTGAAGGCTGGGGTGAATGAGATGATACTGAAGGCTGAGGTAAATGAGCTGATACTGAAGGCTGAGGTGAATGAGCTGATAGTAAAAGGCTGAGGTTAATGAGCTGATACTAAAGGCTGAGGTTAATGAGCTGATACTAAAGGCTGAGGTTAATGAGCTGATACTAAAGGCTGAGGTTAATGAGCTGATACTAAAGGCTGAGGTGAATGAGCTGATAGTAAAAGGCTGAGGTTAATGAGCTGATACTGAAGGCTGGGGTGAATGAGCAGATACTGAAGGCTGAGGTTAATGAGCTGATACTAAAGGCTGAGGTTAATGAGCTGATACTAAAGGCTGAGGTTAATGAGCTGATACTAAAGGCTGAGGTTAATGAGCTGATACTGAAGGCTGAGGTTAATGAGCTGATACTGAAGGCTGAGGTTAATGAGCTGATACTGAAGGCTGAGGTTAATGAGCTGATACTAAAGGCTGAGGTTAATGAGCTGATACTGAAGGCTGAGGTTAATGAGCTGATACTGAAGGCTGAGGTTAATGAGCTGATACTGAAGGCTGAGGTTAATGAGCTGATACTGAAGGCTGAGGTTAATGAGCTGATACTAAAGGCTGAGGTTAATGAGCTGATACTGAAGGCTGAGGTTAATGAGCTGATACTGAAGGCTGAGGTTAATGAGCTGATACTGAAGGCTGAGGTTAATGAGCTGATACTGAAGGCTGAGGTTAATGAGCTGATACTGAAGGCTGAGGTGAATGAGCTGATACTGAACGCTGAGGTGAATGAGCAGATATTGACAACTGGTAGCTAAAGAACCGTGTGCACTGATATTAAATAATGATAGCTGAAGAAATGTATGACTTGATGTAAAATGCTGACACCTGATAAATGACACACATCAATGTTATCTTTTATGTTTCTCAATCGCTCTCTGATACCTTTTATATTTCTTTAAGATTCTCTTATATTATCCTGTATATTTCTCTGTGACTCCCTGATGTTATCATGTATGCTTGATGTAAAATGCTGACACCTGATAAATGTATGACTTGATGTAAAATGCTGACACCTGATAAATGTATGACCTGATGTAAAATGCTGACACCTGATAAATGTATGACTTGATGTAAAATGCTGACACCTGAAAAATGTATGAGTTGATTCAGAATACTGACAGCTGACCCAAAAAAATTATGAGTTGATATTAATTTCAGATTTTTGTCAAAATATGTGAATCCCGCCTTAAATTGTTACTAGGTAAAGTCCTGGGAAGTAAAGGCAGCCAGTGTGCTGTTGACCATGTCACCCATTGAGGTCATACAAATGTGAATCTGGCCTAATGTGCCCGATGTGCCACTAGTGTGCAAAGGGGCCTTTACTTTTTTCTTTACTGATAATTAAAGACATGTGTGAACTGCTGAAAACAGGATAATTATGTGAACAGTTCATGAGAATGAAGGATGTTCTTTTTAATGACGAGATGGTCGCTTGCTGTGTGGTTCTAGGTTGTGGTGACACTCAAGGGAAATATCGGGTTTAAAAGTGTCAAGCCTAGCAGCAGTGGACTAGAGGTGTTAGAATCTGGAGACCAGGTTAAACGGATCAAGGTGAGTGCTGTCGGCTAGCCAGTGTGTGTGCGTGCAGTGTGTGTGTTTGTGTGCGTGCATGTGTGGGGGTTGGGGGGGGGGGGATTATTGCATTGCTAAATGGTTGCGCTATTTGCCTCATACTCTGAAGTTATCTTCTTCTTTCTTCTTCTCAGAATTCCTCTGGTGGGTCGTCCACTTCTGGGCTTTAGACTTTCGTCTTGTTCCAAAACTTGAGTTTGCCATGTACATCCGTTTTACTGATTGTGTTTATTTTTAACCAGACTGTTGGTTCCTCATCTCTCAGGCAGGTGCACTCAGACTTCAAAGCAAACTCCCCTAATTAGTTTCCTTTTACAACATAGTTAGTTAGTTAGTTAGTTAGTTAGTTAGTTAGTTAGTTAGTTAGTTAGTTAGTTAGTTAGTTAGTTAGTTAGTTAGTTAGTTAGTTAGTTAGTTAGTTAGTTGGGTTATCATTATTGCACTCCGGACATAGCCATAGGTGCTCAGATCCTCCCCTCAGTATGAACCCAAACGCCCGATGGCTAATAGTACTAGTTCTACGTTAATTAACAAGTCTTCAGGCGTGTCTGGTGTTCGTCTCGTTTTTTGCTATGCCGATCCTAATTCCCAAGTCTGCCATTCCGGCGAGTGCTGTGGATTCACTGCCCCCAAAGTCCTCTATCTTTCCCATTTTTCTGAGGGCATTAATAATATCAGCATGATTCCTTGGCTGACTGTTGGTAGTGATAGCAGATTCAGCCAACCTGTCAGCTCTTTCATTTCCATTGACGCCGGCATATCCCGGGAAAAAATAAAGGTGACTCCACGCACAGTGGACTTCTGTAATGATTCAAGACATTGTCTTCACACCGAACCTGCCTGAACTTCCTTTTACAACATGCTTGTTAGCAATGCAGGGGGTAAATGTTATCCTGTATATTTCTCTGTGACTCCCTGATGTTATCATGTATGTGTCTCTGTGACTCCCTGATGTTATCCTGTATGTTTCTCTGTGACTCCCTGATGTTATCCTATATGTTTCTCTGTGACTCCCTGATGTTATCCTGTATGTTTCTCTGTGACTCCCTGATGTTATCATGTATGTGTCTCTGTGACTCCCTGATGTTATCCTATATGTGTCTCTGTGACTCCCTGATGTTATCCTATATGTGTCTCTGTGACTCCCTGATGTTATCCTGTATGTTTCTCTGTGACTCCCTGATGTTATCCTGTATGTTTCTCTGTGACTCCCTGATGTTATCCTATATGTGTCTCTGTGACTCCCTGATGTTATCCTGTATGCTTCTCTGTGACTCCCTAATGTTATCCTGTATGTTACTCTGTGACTCCCTGATGTTATCATGTATGCTTCTCTGTGACTCCCTGATGTTATCCTATATGTGTCTCTGTGACTCCCTGATGTTATCCTGTATGTTTCTCTGTGACTTCCTGATGTTATCCTGTATGCTTCTCTGTGACTCCCTGATGTTATCATGTATGTTTCTCTGTGACTCCCTGATGTTATCCTATATGTGTCTCTGTGACTCCCTGATGTTATCCTATATGTGTCTCTGTGACTCCCTGATGTTATCATGTATGTTTCTCTGTGACTCCCTGATGTTATTCTGTATGTTACTCTATGACTCCCTGATGTTATCCTGTATGTTTCTCTGTGACTCCCTGATGTTATCCTGTATGTTTCTCTGTGACTCCCTGATGTTATCCTGTATGTTTCTCTGTGACTCCCTGATGTTATCCTGTATGTTTCTCTGTGACTCCCTGATGTTATCCTGTATGCTTCTCTGTGACTCCCTGATGTTATCCTGTATGCTTCTCTGTGACTCCCTGATGTTATCCTGTATGCTTCTCTGTGACTCCCTGATGTTATCCTGTATGTTTCTCTATGACTCCCTGATGTTATCCTGTATGCTTCTCTGTGACTCCCTGATGTTATCCTGTATGCTTCTCTGTGACTCCCTGATGTTATCCTGTATGCTTCTCTGTGACTCCCTGATGTTATCCTGTATGCTTCTCTGTGACTCCCTGATGTTATCCTGTATGTTTCTCTATGACTCCCTGATGTTATCCTGTATGCTTCTCTGTGACTCCCTGATGTTATCCTGTATGTTTCTCTGTGACTCCCTGATGTTATCATGTATGTGTCTCTGTGACTCCCTGATGTTATCATGTATGTGTCTCTGTGACTCCCTGATGTTATCATGTATGTGTCTCTGTGACTCCCTGATGTTATCATGTATGTTTCTCTGTGACTCCCTGATGTTATCCTGTATGTTTCTCTGTGACTCCCTGATGTTATCATGTATGTTTCTCTGTGACTCCCTGATGTTATCCTGTATGTTTCTCTGTGACTCCCTGATGTTATCCTGTATGTTTCTCTGTGACTCCCTGATGTTATCCTATATGTTTCTCTGTGACTCCCTGATGTTATCCTATATGTTTCTCTGTGACTCCCTGATGTTATCCTGTATGTTTCTCTGTGACTCCCTGATGTTATCCTGTATGTTTCTCTGTGACTCCCTGATGTTATCCTGTATGTTTCTCTGTGACTCCCTGATGTTATCCTGTATGTTTCTCTGTGACTCCCTGATGTTATCATGTATGTTTCTCTGTGACTTCCTGATGTTATCCTATATGTTTCTCTCTGACTCCCTGATGTTATCCTGTACGTGTCTCTGTGACTCCCTGATGTTATCCTGTATGTGTCTCTGTGACTCCCTGATGTTATCCTGTACGTGTCTCTGTGACTCCCTGATGTTATCATGTATGTGTCTCTGTGACTCCCTGATGACTGTACCTCTGATGTTCCCTGATGTTATCATGTATGTGTCTCTGTGACTCCCTGATGTTATCCTGTATGTTTCTCTGTGACTCCCTGATGTTATCCTGTATGTTTCTCTGTGACTCGCTGATGCTATCCTGTATGTTTTTCTGTGACTCCCTGATGTTATCCTGTATGTTTCTCTGTGACTCTATAATGTTTTGTAAATGTTGTATCTCTGTGACTCCATGAAGTTTTCTTGAATGTTGTTTCTCTGTGACTCCCTGATGTCCATGTGTTTCTCTGTGACTCCCTGATGTCCTTATGTTTCTCTGTGACTCCATTATGTTATCTTGTATATAACTGGCTCGAGGGAGGAGGAATATACATAGAATGCCCAAATGGTTTAAAAATCAACCAGGCTGTACCAACAGGTTCACATTCCTCCAATTACAGAGCAGAGGCAGAAGCACTTCTAGCGGCATGTTCTTTCCTAAATGGATAACAGCACAGCAAATATAGCAGAGTGGTCTTTCTGACTGATGCTATGTCAGTTCTACAAGCAGTTGTTAACCCAAAAGACATTCAGTTTGTAGACTTGACGCAACAGCTGATTTACTTAGGCTCTTCAGTAGAACAATCTGTACTGCAGTGGATTCCAGGTCACTGTGGCTTGGAAGGCAATGAAATAGCGGACAGATTGGACAGAAGCGGCAGTGACATGGTACAACCAAATAGCGACTTAACCCACCAAGAGATGAAAACATTAATATAATCTAGTATCTAAGAAAGGTGGCTGGATACCCACAACAGATTTTCTCCCCAAGACTCACTTCATCGCCTCTCTAGAGAGAGACAGTGTATCATATTCAGACTAAGGACTGGGCACAACAGATTTCGTCAACATATGTTCAAATTTTTCGGTGTAGGAAATACGGAGACCTGTCCCTGCAGCGTGGCACCCGAAAATGCTGAGCATGTGCTCCAACACTGTCAACTGTAGGCTGACAACAGAGACAAAATCTGGCCTGTTCCAACCACACTGAAGACAAAACTGTATGGTACACGACAGGATATGGATTGCACGATAGCTTTCATAAAGTCTACCGGCCTCCTAATATAAGTTTTCTGACAGAAGGATCGAAGAAGAAGAAGAAGAAGAAGAAGAAGACTGGCTCATTGGTCTAAGGATATGATTCTCGCTAAGGATGCGACAGGTCCCAGGTTCAAATCCCGGACTAGCCCAACTTTTAAGGGGGTGCATGATCTCGAGGCATGGCATCCACCTCGAGTGCTGGCAGTCATGGGTTCAAGCCCTGGTGATGGCTGAGATTTTTAAACGTGGAGTTCTAGTAATTTCCCCTGGTCTCTCGATAGTAAGATCGGAAGCCAGTGTGTATTGTTGCATACATAAAAAATCCCTTGGCAGTTGGAAATCGAGAAAGAGTAGCCTAACAGTGCTGCCCTGGCAAAATTTGAGTAAAAAATCTACCAAAAGTATTTCACCGGTACTACAGAGTTCGTGCACTGTGTTGAGATTCTTTATACTCAACTTGAGTCAAAAGTGGAGTGAAGCACTTATGGGTTACTACCCTTGTGCCATGATGTTGATCTGTCTTCTAAAACAAAACCTAAACCTAATCTTGTATATTTCTCTGTAACTCCCTGGTGTTATTATCCTGTCAGCTTCTCTGTGACTGCATTATGTTATCCTGTCAGTTTCTATATGGCTGCATGATGTTATCCTGTCAGTTCCTCTGTAACTCCCTGATGTTATCCTGTATGTTTGTATGTGACTAATCCACATCACTCGCCAGAATGGCAGACTTGGGAATTAAGATCGGCACAGCAAAAAACGAGACGCACACCAGAAGACTTGTTAATCAACATAGAACTGGTACTATTAGCCATCAGACGTTGGGGATTATACTGAGGTGAGGATCTGAGCACCTATGGACATGTCCAAAGTGCAATGATGATAACCCAACTAACTAACTTACTTTGTATGTGACTCCATTATGGTATCTTGTATGTTTCTCCTTGTCTGCCTGATATAGCAACTTTCTATGTGACTCCCTAATACTGTGTGTTTCTCTGTTTCTCTGTGACTACTCAATGTTCCATTTCTTTCTCTGTGACCTATATGACTTACCATGATCTGCCTGCAGGTGAAATCACAGGAGCTGGGTGTGGTCTATTTCGCTATCCTGGTCACAGGGCTAGGAAACATTCCCATTGAGATAGCAGCACAGTCCCCAGGTGCAGCAGATGCCATCCGCCGAATCCTAGTAGTCAAGGTTTGCTCATATCTTCTCATATCTTCTCAGATTCTTAACTAGCTTAAGAATGTGTGCCTGTGAATTTTCACCACTTTGTGATGTGATAAGTCTAATGTGGGTGAATGCTCACTGTTCTATGATGTGACAAGTCTAATGTGGGTGAATGCTCACTGTTCTATGATATGACAAGTCTAATGTGGGTGAATGTTCATTGTTCTATGATGTGACAAGTCTAATGTGGGTGAATGCTTACTGTTCTATGATGTGACAAGTCTTATATGAGTGAATGCTCACTGTTCTATGATGTGACAAGTCTTATATGAGTGAATGTTCACTGTTCTATGATGTGACAAGTCTAATGTGGGTGAATGCTAACTGTTCTATGATGTGACAAGTCTAATGTGGGTGAATGCTCACTGTTCTATGATGTGACAAGTCTTATATGAGTGAATGCTCACTGTTCTATGATGTGACAAGTCTTATATGAGTGAATGTTCACTGTTCTATGATGTAACAAGTCTTAATGAGTTAATGTTCACTGTTCTATGATGTGACAAGTCTTATATGAGTGAATGTTCACTGTTCTATGATGTGACAAGTCTTAATAAATGAATGTTCATTGTTCTATGATGTGACAAGTCTTATATGAGTGAATGTTCACTGTTCTATGATGTGACAAGTCTTATATGAGTGAATGTTCACTGTTCTATGATGTGACAAGTCTTAATAACTGAATGTTCACTGTTCTATGATGTGACAAGCCTTAATGAGTGAATGCTCACTGTTCTATGATGTGACAAGTCCTAATGAGTGAATGTTCACTGTTCTATGATGTGACAAGTCTTATATGGGTGAATGTTCACTGTTCTATGATGTGACAAGTCTTAATAACTGAATGTTCACTGTTCTATGATGTGACAAGTCTTATATGAGTGAATGTTCACTGTTCTATGATGTGACAAGTCTTATATGAGTGAATGTTCACTGTTCTATGATGTGACAAGTCTTAATAACTGAATGTTCACTGTTCTATGATGTGACAAGCCTTAATGAGTGAATGTTCACTGTTCTATGATGTGACAAGCCTTAATGAGTGAATGTTCACTGTTCTATGATGTGACAAGTCCTAATGAGTGAATGTTCACTGTTCTATGATGTGACAAGTCTTAAATGAGTGAATGTTCACTGTTCTATGATGTGACAAGTCTTAATGAGTTAATGTTCACTGTTCTATGATGTGACAAGTCTTAATGAGTGAATGTTCACTGTTCTATGATGTGACAAGTCTTATATGGGTGAATGTTCACTGTTCTATGATGTGACAAGTCTTATATGGGTGAATGTTCACTGTTCTATGATGTGACAAGCCTTATATGGGTGAATGTTCACTGTTCTATGATGTGACAAGTCTTAATGAGTTAATGTTCACTGTTCTATGATGTGACAAGTCTTAATGAGTGAATGTTCACTGTTCTATGATGTGACAAGTCTTATATGGGTGAATGTTTACTGTTCTATGATGTGACAAGTCTTATATGGGTGAATGTTCACTGTTCTATGATGTAACAAGTCTTATATGGGTGAATGTTCACTGTTCTATGATGTGACAAGTCTTATATGGGTGAATGTTCACTGTTCTATGATGTGACAAGTCTTATATGGGTGAATGTTCACTGTTCTATGATGTAACAAGCCTTGATGAGTAAATGTTCATTGTTCTATGATGTCACAAGTCTTATATAGGTGAATGTTCACTGCTCTATGATGTGACAAGTCTTATATGAGTGAATGTTCACTGTTCTATGATGTGACAAGCCTTAATGAGTGAATGTTCACTGTGACAAGTCTTATATGGGTTAATGTTCACTGTTCTATGATGTGACAAGCCTTAATGAGTGAATGTTCACTGTTCTATGATGTGACAAGTCTTATAAGGGTGAATGTTCACTGTTCTATGATGTGACAAGTCTTAAATGGGTGAATGTTCACTGTTCTATGATGTGACAAGTCTTATATGGGTGAATGTTCGCTCTTCTGTGATGTGACAAGTCTTAATGAGTGAATGTTCACTGTTCTTTGATGTGACAAGTCTTATATGGGTGAATGTTCACTGTTCTATGATGTGACAAGTCTTAATGAGTGAATGTTCACTGTTCTTTGATGTGACAAGTCTTATATGGGTGAATGTTCACTGTTCTATGATGTGACAAGTCTTATATGGGTGAATGTTCGCTCTTCTTTGATGTGACAAGTCTTAATGATTGAATTTTCACTATTCTGTGATGTGAAAAGTCTTGTGTGGGTGAATGTTCATCATTCTATGATTTGGCAAGTCTTATATAGGTAAATTTTTTATCGTTTTGTAATGTGATACATTTTACATGAGTAAACGTTTACTGTTCTGCGATGTAACTAGTCTGCTATGGGTGAATGTTCACCGCTCTTTGACATGAAGCTATAGAGAAGCCATTATCATCATAAGTCTTCACAGATCACGTTGGAGTTTGAGTTGGGAAGCAAGATTCTGGTGCTGTTGCCTTTAACACAAGTAGTCTGACTATGGAGGTCATGGCCGTGACCAAGGCAATAACATGGCTGGAGACACAGACCTTTTCCCGTCCATGCTTTCTCAGTGACTCAACGAGCATGTTAAGGAAGATAGAGATGGGCTGGGTCTGAAGACAGTGGTTGGAGTCTCTGAGGAGGTCAGAGCTGACAAATGGTTCAAATTAATGTCAGGGTATGCAGGTGTGTAAGGAAATGAGCAAGCTGCTAGGCTTGCTGGTCAGATTACCGTGGAGAGAGGATGAACCATGTACCAGGCTGATATATTGAATGCTCTACGAGAAACAAGATGTTTGCGAGAACCAGGTGATGACTGTAAGTCTGCAACCATGACCAGAATGCAAGAACAGCATGTTAAAATAGTTGTGGCCAGGCAAGAGCACTATACAGTAAGCCAAATAAGAATTAGAAACCAACCCTGAGCTAGTATCGTGAGCTGCTACACGCTGTGATATTTACTAATGATAGGATTTAAGCACTTATGGACTGAATGGTTCCAAGTGCAATGAGGATAATCTGTCGGCTAAATAGCTGTAATTATCCTCTTGTTCTACCCTTGTTAGTTAACTAAGATTACCAGCCTAGTCTTCATTCCACATAGAAGCCAGCTTTAGCTGGCAAGGAACAGTTGGTCTCAGCAAGAAGTAGAACTGGTGAGCTCTCCAGTAATACACAACAAACAATGAGGAAATTAACGTTTCTTCTAGAAAACCTTCATCAGTATACTTTTGGCTCTGTCAGGTTTTTCATGCTATCTCATCTAGCGCGAGATTTCGTGGGGAATTTCCCTGGACAGTCCTTCAGTCTAGAGGTATTATAACCTGCCTTCTTTTGGCGTGCAAACAGCCACCTGCAACCAATCGAAGATGAATGAGGTCATGTACATTAAGTATGCTGACAAGTGTATGGGCTTTTTTCGACCAGGTCGGCACAGTCTCACACAGAAAGGTGCACTGGTTTCTTTTCACGTAGATGAAAGTGAGCAACTCTCTTTTCTGTGAAGAACTGTTCAAGCATTAAAGTTTAGGTCCTCTTTTGTGTGTGTGTGTGAATGACTGTTCAGCTAAACTTTCTTTTCTGTGTCAACGAACAATATGCAGTCATCACTGGAATGAGAACTGGTGACATTTTGGGGTGACAGTTAGAGCGTTGAAAACAGAAATGCTTAAAACTAAAAAACAAGAAATACATGACACCCCTAGACTATATGAGTGTCCCAGGGATTCCTGACAAAAGCTCATGCCGGACGAGGTGGAAGGAAAAGCCTGAAAAAAAATCTACTTTTTACTAATCACATCTCAACCGTATTGTGCTTCCAGAGGACTGTAAATACACCAAAACTCTTATTACATATATCTGTGTATATTATTGTTTCATTTCCTAGTTTAAAGGTGCTTCAATAATGAATTACTGCTCTAATATTTAAAAAAAAAATTAAGCAGCAACATAGTGTTGATCAAATCCCCCATTGTAATTCCAATCAGACTTTAGAAATATAATAAAAGAAAATAAGAAGCGCAACCACTCAGCTTGACACACACATATACACCCACTCACTCACGCATGTACACACACACACACTCACACATACATGCATGCACACAAACAAACTACAAGTGGACATTGCGGCTAAAGAGCTTTCATCAGTACATTACATAAATCTACATTACCACAAATACAATCAAAAGTACATAAAAATAACTTAACTGACATATCTCTGAAAGAAATCACATTTATGGCCAGCCGGTACAAAATCTTACACGTATGTCTCCATGAGAAAACAATATTGGCCAGAGACAGCAATGAGTGACAAGGGCCATAACTCAAAGATATTAGATAAAACTGTTAGAATATAGAAATATGAGTAGAGTACTATGCACATGATGTACCAAAATTGTGAAGTACTATGTACATGATGTGCCAAAATTGTGAAGTACTATGTACATGATGTGCCAAAATTGTGAAGTACTATGTACATGATGTGCCAAAATTGTGAAGCACTATGTACATGATGTGCCAAAATTGTGAAGCACTATGTACATGATGTGCCAAAATTGTGAAGTACTATGTACATGATGTGCCAAAATTGTGAAGTACTATGTACATGATGTGCCAAAATTGTGAAGTACTATGTACATGATGTGCCAAAATTGTGAAGTACTATGTACATGATGTGCCAAAATTGTGAAGTACTATGTACATGATGTGCCAAAATTGTGAAGTACTATGTACATGATGTGCCAAAATTGTGAAGTACTATGTACATGAAGTGCCAAAATTGCGAAAAGGGTCCTTTGTATTTCTTTTTTTTTTTGGTTATTCCAGTATGTCTTGACAGATTATCTCCATGTATTATTGGTATAATGTTCCAGCCGGAAGGTGCTCTTGTCAGCTTCAACAACCCATTCTTCATCAGTCTCAGTGGACAGAACAGATTTAACGAATCCATAGAATTTCCTCTGCCACCTTCTGTAGTGAACGGATCAGATAGGGCCAGCATTAAAACCACCGGTAAATTTGTGTGTTGTTGCTAAGTCCTGATCTTCTAGCTGATACTTGTGTGTTTGTTGAATCACTAAGTCCTGATCTTCTAGCTGATACTTGTGTGTTTGTTGAATCACTAAGTCCTGATCTTCTAGCTGATACTTGTGTGTTTGTTGAATCACTGAGTCCTGATCTTCTAGCTGACACTTGTGTATTTGTTGGTTCACTGATTCTTGATCTTCTAGCTGATACTTGTGTGTTTGTTGAATCACTGAGTCCTGATCTTCTAGCTGACACTTGTGTATTTGTTGGTTCACTGATTCTTGATCTTCTAGCTGATACTTGTGTGTTTGTTGAATCACTGAGTCCTGATCTTCTAGCTGACACTTGTGTATTTGTTGGTTCACTGATTCTTGATCTTCTAGCTGATACTTGTGTGTTTGTTGAGTCACTGTGCTGATCTTCTAGCTGATACTTGTGTGTTTGTTGAATCACTGAGTCCTGATCTTCTAGCTGACACTTGTGTATTTGTTGGTTCACTGATTCTTGATCTTCTAGCTGATACTTGTGTGTTTGTTGGTTCACTGATTCTTGGTCTTCTAGCTGATACTTGTGTGTTTGTTGGTTCACTGATTCTTGATCTTCTAGCTGATACTTATGTGTTTGTTGAATCACTGAGTCCTGATATTCTAGCGAATACTTGTGTGTTTGTTGGTTCACTGATTCTTGGTCTTCTAGCTAACACTTGTGTGTTTGTTGGTTCACTGATTCTTGATCTTCTAGCTGATACTTGTGTGTTTGTTGGTTCACTGATTCTTGGTCTTCTAGCTAACACTTGTGTGTTTGTTGGTTCACTGATTCTTGATCTTCTAGCTAACACTTGTGTGTTTGTTGGTTCACTGATTCTTGATCTTCTAGCTAACACTTGTGTGTTTGTTGGTTCACTGATTCTTGATCTTCTAGCTAACACTTGTGTGTTTGTTGAATCACTGAGTCCTGATCTTCTAGCTGATACTTGTGTGTTTGTTGAATCACTAAGTCCTGATCTTCTAGCTGATACTTGTGTGTTTGTTGGTTCACTGATTCTTGATCTTCTAGCTGATACTTGTGTGTTTGTTGGTTCACTGATTCTTGGTCTTCTAGCTGAAACTTGTGTGTTTGTTGGTTCATTGATTCTTGGTCTTCTAGCTAACACTTGTGTGTTTGTTGGTTCACTGATTCTTGATCTTCTAGCTAACACTTGTGTGTTTGTTGGTTCATTGATTCTTGGTCTTCTAGCTAACACTTGTGTGTTTGTTGGTTCATTGATTCTTGGTCTTCTAGCTAACACTTGTGTGTTTGTTGGTTCACTGATTCTTGATCTTCTAGCTGATACTTGTGTGTTTGTTGGTTCACTGATTCTTGATCTTCTAGCTGATACTTGTGTGTTTGTTGGTTCACTGATTCTTGGTCTTCTAGCTAACACTTGTGTGTTTGTTGGTTCATTGATTCTTGGTCTTCTAGCTAACACTTGTGTGTTTGTTGGTTCACTGATTCTTGGTCTTCTAGCTGATACTTGTGTGTTTGTTGGTTCACTGATTCTTGATCTTCTAGCTAACACTTGTGTGTTTGTTGGTTCACTGATTCTTGGTCTTCTAGCTGATACTTGTGTGTTTGTTGAATCACTGAGTCCTGATCTTCTAGCTGATACTTGTGTGTTTGTTGAATCACTGAGTCCTGATCTTCTAGCTGATACTTGTGTGTTTGTTGAATCACTGAGTCCTGATCTTCTAGCTGATACTTGTGTATTTGTGGACTCACTAAGTCCTGATATTCTAGCGAACACTTGTGTGTTTGTTGAATCACTGAGTCCTGATCTTCTGGCTGATACTTGTGTGTTTGTTGAGTCACTGTGCTGATCTTCTAGCTGATACTTGTGTGTTTGTTGAATCACTGAGTCCTGATCTTCTAGCTGATACTTGTGTGTTTGTTGAGTCACTGAGTCCTGATCTTTTAGCTGTTACTTCTGTGTTTGTTGAGTCACTGAGTCTTGATCATCTTGCTGGTAACTGTGATTTGTTTTTTTGTTATTGAGTGGTTTGACAGTAATTGAATACCTAAAATGGAGCAAAGCCAAAAAGAAAACTGCTGATAGAGAAGTCTGGCAATCTCTCTGGCAAACCTCTACACTCCACGGTAGAAGACGAATGACTGAGTAGCAGATATTCTACATTTGTCGTAATCTTTTTTGTTTTAAACATATTTGTATCACTACTTCTCACTGGTTATTGACTTGTTTATGTATTTAACAGGTGATCTGATTGGCTCCAGCTCTAGTAGCGTGACAGAGCTGATAGGGCTTCCTACTGGCTGTGGCGAGCAGAGCTTGGGTAGGACTGCTCCAAATGTGTACATTGCATTTTACCTGCTGGCTATTGGTCAATTCTTTGGCCGTCAGAAAGCGGAACTCATCGAGTTTTTAGAGGCTGGTGAGTTTCATATAATCTCTTAAATATACAGTTGATGTTAATTGTATATACTTCTGTAGTAGTGGTGGCAATGTCATGGTAAGTTTTATCTATCTTTTAACTATATAGACAGTGTTAATTGTATGAGGTGAGTTGAGAGTTGAGTTGAATGCAACTAGACAAGGACGCCCAATTTATGTTTGTAATGAGGAAGTCATTGCTAAATTTCAAGAATGTCAGTCGACTGTGAGGATGATGGTAGATGAATTTGATTTTAATAGATAGTCCATTCATACAATTTTAGTAGAGGATTTGGGTAAGAAAAAAGTTGCTTGTCAGTTTGTGTTCAACACCTGGCAATTTTTTTGTTTCTTCATGACTATGCACCGGCTCAAAGGGCGGTAGTTGTACAGGAATTTGTGGCTCAAAAACAGACGCATGTTCTCAACCATCCACCCTATTCCCCAGATTAGTCTCCCTGTGACTATTTTCCATTCCCAAAATTAAAGTTGCCATTGAAAGGACGCTTCTTTGACAATATTGATGGCATCCAAGGGGCCATAACATCGACTTTAAGGGCCATGACAATAAAAGAAATTACAGAGTTCGTTCCAGTGTTATTTATATCGTGCCACTTGCTGAGTCTTAATTTGAATAAAATAAAGGTTATATCTTAAATTGTTGATTATTTTAATTTTTATGGAATTATTCTGATTACTTAATTGTAGAAACTTGTACTTCAGTAGTGGCGGTGGCAATGTCATGGTGAGTTTTATCTCTTAACTATACTGTCAGTGTTAATTGCATATACTATAGTAGTAGTGGTGGTACTGCTAGGGGTGGTGGTGGTGGTAGTAGCAGCAGCTGATCCAGCAGCATCAGTAGCAGCAGCAGTAGTAGATGTAGAAGTCAGGATCTTTTCAGGTGGTTCACATCTGTACTTTTTCTGAAGCATAATTTTTCAGTGCCACTGTAATACTCACTTTGTGTTGAGTACAGGCACTTTCATTTTCTAGTTGGGGAAAAAGCCCTGGTAGTATTATTAGTAGTTGGTGTTGCTTTTGTAATAAAAGTAGCAGTAGTAGAAGGAGTTCTAGGAGTTGTTGTAGTAGTAAAAATAATTGTAGTAGTTGTAAATGTAGTAATTAGTTCTAGTTTTAGTTTTTGAAGTAGTTGTAGTAATACAAATAGTAGTAGTTGGTGTTGTAGTAGAAGAAGTAGTAAAAGTAACAGTAGTAGTGGTAATTGTTTTTAGTGTAGAGGTACAAGTAGTAGCAGTTGTTGGTGTAGAAGTACAAGTAGTAGTAGTTGTTGTTGGTGTAGAAGTACAAGTAGTAGTAGTTGTTGGTGTAGAAGTACAAGTAGTAGTAGTTGTTGTTGGTGTAGAATTACAAGTAGTAGTAGTTGTTGTTGTTGTAGAATTACAAGTAGTAGCAGTTGTTGTTGGTGTAGAAGTACAAGTAGTAGTAGTTGTTGTTGGTGTAGAAGTACAAGTAGTAGTAGTTGTTGTTGTTGTAGAAGTACAAGTAGTAGTAGTTGTTGTTGGTGTAGAAGTACAAGTAGTAGTAGTTGTTGTTGGTGTAGAATTACAAGTAGTAGCAGTTGTTGTTGGTGTAGAAGTACAAGTAGTAGTAGTTGTTGTTGGTGTAGAAGTACAAGTAGTAGTAGTTGTTGTTGTTGTAGAAGTACAAGTAGTGGTAGTTGTTGTTGGTGTAGAAGTACAAGTAGTAGTAGTTGTTGATGGTGTAGAAGTACAAGTAGTAGTAGTTGTTGTTGGTGTAGAAGTACAAGTAGTAGTTGTTGTTGGTGTAGAAGTACAAGTAGTAGTAGTTGTTGTTGGTGTAGAAGTACAAGTAGTAGTTGTTGTTGGTGTAAAAGTACAAGTAGTAGCAGTTGTTGTTGGTGTAGAAGTACAAGTAGTAGTTGTTGTTGGTGTAGAAGTACAAGTAGTAGTTGTTGTTGGTGTAAAAGTACAAGTAGTAGCAGTTGTTGTTGGTGTAGAAGTACAAGTAGTAGTTGTTGTTGGTGTAGAAGTACGAGTAGTAGTTGTTGTTGGTGTAAAAGTACAAGTAGTAGTAGTTGTTGTTGGTGTAGAAGTACAAGTAGTAGTTGTTGTTGGTGTAGAAGTACGAGTAGTAGTTGTTGTTTTTGGTGTAGAAGTACAAGTATTAGTTGTTGTTGGTGAAGAAGTACAAGTAGTAGCAGTTGTTGTTGGTGTAGAAGTACAAGTAGTAGTTGTTGTTGGTGTAGAAGTACAAGTAGTAGTTGTTGTTGGTGTAAAAGTACAAGTATTAGTTGTTGTTGGTGAAGAAGTACAAGTATTAGTTGTTGTTGGTGAAGAAGTACAAGTATTAGTTGTTGTTGGTGAAGAAGTACAAGTAGTGGTAGTTGTTGTTGATGTAGAAGTACAAGTAATAGTAGTTGTTGGTGTAGAAGTACAAGTAGTAGTTGTTGTTGGTGAAGAAGTACAAGTAGTAGTTGTTGTTGGTGAAGAAGTACAAGTATTAGTTGTTGTTGGTGAAGAAGTACAAGTATTAGTTGTTGTTGGTGTAGAAGTACAAGTATTAGTTGTTGTTGGTGTAGAAGTACAAGTAGTAGTTGTTGTTGGTGTAGAAGTACAAGTAGTAGTTGTTGTTGGTGTAGAAGTACAAGTATTAGTTGTTGTTGGTGAAGAAGTACAAGTATTAGTTGTTGTTGGTGTAGAAGTACAAGTATTAGTTGTTGTTGGTGAAGAAGTACAAGTATTAGTTGTTGTTGGTGTAGAAGTACAAGTATTAGTTGTTGTTGGTGTAGAAGTACAAGTAGTAGTTGTTGTTGGTGTAGAAGTACAAGTAGTAGTTGTTGTTGGTGTAGAAGTACAAGTAGTAGTTGTTGTTGGTGTAGAAGTACAAGTATTAGTTGTTGTTGGTGAAGAAGTACAAGTATTAGTTGTTGTTGATGTAGAAGTACAAGTAGTAGTAGTTGTTGGTGTAGAAGTACAAGTATTAGTTGTTGTTGGTGAAGAAGTACAAGTATTAGTTGTTGTTGGTGTAGAAGTACAAGTATTAGTTGTTGTTGGTGAAGAAGTACAAGTATTAGTTGTTGTTGATGTAGAAGTACAAGTAGTAGTAGTTGTTGGTGTAGAAGTACAAGTAGTAGTTGTTGTTGGTGAAGAAGTACAAGTATTAGTTGTTGTTGGTGAAGAAGTACAAGTATTAGTTGTTGTTGGTGAAGAAGTACAAGTATTAGTTGTTGTTGGTGTAGAAGTACAAGTATTAGTTGTTGTTGGTGTAGAAGTACAAGTAGTAGTTGTTGTTGGTGTAGAAGTACAAGTAGTAGTTGTTGTTGGTGTAGAAGTACAAGTAGTAGTTGTTGTTGGTGTAGAAGTACAAGTATTAGTTGTTGTTGGTGTAGAAGTACAAGTAGTAGTTGTTGTTGGTGAAGAAGTACAAGTATTAGTTGTTGTTGGTGAAGAAGTACAAGTATTAGTTGTTGTTGGTGAAGAAGTACAAGTAGTGGTAGTTGTTGTTGATGTAGAAGTACAAGTAGTAGTAGTTGTTGGTGTAGAAGTACAAGTAGTAGTTGTTGTTGGTGAAGAAGTACAAGTAGTAGTTGTTGTTGGTGAAGAAGTACAAGTATTAGTTGTTGTTGGTGTAGAAGTACAAGTAGTAGTTGTTGTTGGTGTAGAAGTACAAGTATTAGTTGTTGTTGGTGTAGAAGTACAAGTAGTAGTTGTTTTTGGTGTAGAAGTACAAGTATTAGTTGTTGTTGGTGAAGAAGTACAAGTAGTAGTAGTTGTTGTTGGTGTAGAAGTACAAGTATTAGTTGTTGTTGGTGTAGAAGTACAAGTATTAGTTGTTGTTGGTGAAGAAGTACAAGTAGTGGTAGTTGTTGTTGGTGAAGAAGTACAAGTATTAGTTGTTGTTGGTGAAGAAGTACAAGTATTAGTTGTTGTTGGTGTAGAAGTACAAGTAGTAGTTGTTGTTGGTGAAGAAGTACAAGTATTAGTTGTTGTTGGTGTAGAAGTACAAGTATTAGTTGTTGTTGGTGTAGAAGTACAAGTATTAGTTGTTGTTGGTGTAGAAGTACAAGTATTAGTTGTTGTTGGTGAAGAAGTACAAGTATTAGTTGTTGTTGGTGAAGAAGTACAAGTATTAGTTGTTGTTGGTGAAGAAGTACAAGTATTAGTTGTTGTTGGTGAAGAAGTACAAGTATTAGTTGTTGTTGGTGTAGAAGTACAAGTATTAGTTGTTGTTGGTGAAGAAGTACAAGTATTAGTTGTTGTTGGTGTAGAAGTACAAGTATTAGTTGTTGTTGGTGTAGAAGTACAAGTATTAGTTGTTGTTGGTGAAGAAGTACAAGTATTAGTTGTTGTTGGTGTAGAAGTACAAGTATTAGTTGTTGTTGGTGAAGAAGTACAAGTATTAGTTGTTGTTGGTGTAGAAGTACAAGTAGTAGTTGTTGTTGGTGAAGAAGTACAAGTATTAGTTGTTGTTGGTGTAGAAGTACAAGTATTAGTTGTTGTTGGTGTAGAAGTACAAGTATTAGTTGTTGTTGGTGTAGAAGTACAAGTATTAGTTGTTGTTGGTGAAGAAGTACAAGTATTAGTTGTTGTTGGTGTAGAAGTACAAGTAGTAGTAGTTGTTGGTGTAGAAGTACAAGTATTAGTTGTTGTTGGTGAAGAAGTACAAGTATTAGTTGTTGTTGGTGAAGAAGTACAAGTAGTAGTAGTTGTTGGTGTAGAAGTACAAGTATTAGTTGTTGTTGGTGAAGAAGTACAAGTAGTAGTAGTTGTTGGTGAAGAAGTACAAGTATTAGTTGTTGTTGGTGAAGAAGTACAAGTAGTGGTAGTTGTTGTTGATGTAGAAGTACAAGTAGTAGTAGTTGTTGGTGTAGAAGTACAAGTAGTAGTAGTTGTTGTTGGTGAAGAAGTACAAGTAGTAGTTGTTGTTGGTGAAGAAGTACAAGTAGTAGTAGTTGTTGGTGTAGAAGTACAAGTAGTAGTTGTTGTTGGTGAAGAAGTACAAGTAGTGGTAGTTGTTGGTGAAGAAGTACAAGTAGTAGTAGTTGTTGGTGAAGAAGTACAAGTATTAGTTGTTGTTGGTGAAGAAGTACAAGTAGTGGTAGTTGTTGTTGATGTAGAAGTACAAGTAGTAGTTGTTGTTGGTGAAGAAGTACAAGTAGTGGTAGTTGTTGGTGAAGAAGTACAAGTAGTAGTAGTTGTTGGTGAAGAAGTACAAGTATTAGTTGTTGTTGGTGAAGAAGTACAAGTAGTGGTAGTTGTTGTTGATGTAGAAGTACAAGTAGTAGTTGTTGTTGGTGAAGAAGTACAAGTAGTGGTAGTTGTTGTTGATGTAGAAGTACAAGTAGTAGTTGTTGGTGTAGAAGTACAAGTAGTAGTAGTTGTTGTTGGTGAAGAAGTACAAGTAGTAGTAGTTGTTGTTGGTGAAGAAGTACAAGTAGTAGTTGTTGTTGTTGGTGAAGAAGTACAAGTAGTAGCAGTTGTTGTTGGTGAAGAAGTACAAGTAGTAGTAGTTGTTGTTGGTGAAGAAGTACAAGTAGTAGTTGTTGTTGTTTTTGAAGAATGACAAGTAGTAGTTGTTGTTATCATAAAGGTAGCAATAGTTGTAATTGTTATTATTGTAATAGTACAAATCATTAGTATTTCTTGTATTAAAAGCAGCTGTGTCAGTAGATGAAGAACAAGTAGCAGCTACAACAGTAGTATTAGTATTCATTAAAGGAACCAGTTACTTAGACTGAGGGGGAGGGGCAGGAGAGAGGGGACAGGGGGGAGAGGGGGAGCACTTAGAGATGGAAATGGGTAAAGGGTATAGAGGCATTGCTTCTATGTCTGTTGTGGGTACAAAAATACAGGCTCCCAGAATGTGATTACAAGCTGAAATGTCCATGACTTTTGTCCACTTGTCTGACCACAGGCTACCAGCGACAGCTGATCTACCAGAGATTTGATGGGAGCTTCAGTGCTTTTGGAAATTCAGATGAAAGTGGTAGCACTTGGTGGGTTTCTCTCTCTCTCTATCTCTCTCTCTCTATCTCTCTCTCTCTTTCTCTCTCTCTCTCTTTCTCTCTCTCTCTCTCTCTCTCTCTCTCTGTCTGTCTGTCTGTCTGTCAGTCTGCCTGCCTGCCTCTATGTCTGACCAGTTAGTTGGTCAATCAGTGGGACACTAAGACGAGTCGGTGTCAGTCACTTAGTCGGTCAGTCACTCACTTGGTCAGGCGGTCAGTTTTTTCTCCTGTTTTCTTTTTTTTTTCCTTTTTCCTCTTTGAGTGTGAATATAAAAATTAGCTGTCTCTCTTTCTGTCTCCTCTCTCTCTCTCTCTCTCTCTCTCTCTCTCTCTCTCTGTCCATCTCCCTGACTCGTTCTGATGCTCTCTCTCTCTGTCTTTCTGTCTCTTTCTGTCTCTTTCTGCCTCTCTCCTCTTTCATTGCTTGGGAATATGGAAGCATTCAGACACTCTGTGAGTCTGTCAGTCTATGCAGTTCCCTTTCTTCTGTAGACTGGAAGTGGGGGGGGGGGGGGGGGGGGAGGGAGGGGGTGGCAGTACAGAAATATAGGTATATTATTAGTTTGGTCGCTGAGAATCACTAGCAGTATAGGAACTTTTTAATGGCTGCATGGACACTTACTAAAACGAATGTCATAGCAATAGAGATAAGATTCCTTAAAAATATTATTATTATTATTACACACTTAAGCAAGCCTTCTTATGAGGGGTTGAGCTCTTGCATCCTAGCACCTTAGTTCTTTTGTGTGTGTGGGAATGTGTGTTTATAGGGGGGGTGTGGAGGTGCGTAGTTGTGTGTGCGCATGTGTGTAGGTGTGTGGGGATGTGTTTGTATGATGCGGAGTGTTTGTGGAGGGGCGTAAGTGTGTGTACATGTGTATGGATGTGTCAAAGCTATTGATGCATATATACAAATGTAAATGTGTGACAGTCTTTGATTAACATCATCCAGAGCTGTTCCTCATCACAGGTTGACAGCTAACGTCATCACAGTCTTTGTTCAAGCGAGTGAGATCATCTTTGTGGACCCGTTTGTTTTAATCAGGGCCACTGACTGGTTAGTTGAAAGACAGAACAAAGATGGCTCCTTCAATGAGTTTGGCAAACTCCTGGACTCAAGTATACAGGTATATGTTAGTTTTCTGATGTAGTTCAAAGCGTTCATTTAAAACCTGTTAAAATGGTTTTATTTTAAAAGCATGAAAGAAACACCAGTGTGTCTGGCAAAATTAAACTTAGCATTCATTTTAAAAGAATTATGCACCATGTGTTGTCAGAAAAAATTGCCAAGGTATTCAGGCAAGCATCTCATTGTGTAGGTAGGTGCTGAAAAGATCCACAAAAGAGGACTGCAGTTGCTCCCTGAACCAAGTGTTTACCACGTTCATTATATGGTACCCACTGTAAACAAACCTTCAAATATTTTAGTTTCTTACAAATAATTTTTTGAATTGTTCCATCCCACATAGCCTATTGAGTTCTTTTGCTAGAACATGTATGCTACGAAAGCTGTTCACCTGTCTACTTCAACCTTCTTCTTCTTCTTCTTCTTCTTCTTGTTCACCGGCTGTGAATTCCGGCGTTAAGTCGCGGTTGTTCGTCCAAAATGGACTTTTGGCTTTTACCTTGACCTGAGTTTTGCGTGTACATCCGTTTTACTGGCTTATTTGTTTGCAGTTCTCTCCGGCAGATGTACTCCGACTTCAGAGGAAACAACTTCGACCTTCAAATGAAAAACACTAAATCACTATTATTTGAGCTGTGTGTGGATTTTAGATCAATCCAGCTATTTTTACAATGGTCAGAAACAGAATCTATGCATTATGAGATGATAAGCACATACTCTTTTATTAAATGGTCAGTACTACTTATCTTGTTTCTCACATAGAAACATTTTCTCACACAGAGAACTGGTTTCTCACATTGAGTATTAGTTTCTCACACAGAGAACTGGTTTCTCACATTGAGTATTAGTTTCTCACATAGAGAACTGGTTTCTCACATTGAGTATTAGTTTCTCACATAGAGAACTGGTTTCTCACATTGAGTATTAGTTTCTCACACAGAGAACTGGTTTCTCACATTGAGTATTAGTTTCTCACACAGAGAACTGGTTTCTCACATAGAGAACTGGTTTCTCATAGATAACTGGTTTCTCACATAGAGAACTGGTTTCTCACATAGAGAACTGGTTTCTCACATAGAGAACTAGTTTCTTACATAGAGAACTGGTTTCTCACATAGAGAACTGGTTTCTCACATAGAGAACTGGTTTCTCATACAGAACTAGTTGTTTTCTCACACAGAGAACTGGTTTCTCACATAGAGAACTGGTTTCTCACACTGAACTGTTTTCTCACAAATACTTGGATTCCTCACACACATATCTGATTTTTCACACAGAAGTGGTACCCGAGACCAAGCTAATTAATCATGTAATTTTTTGTAGTTATCTTACACAGTTATCCTACGAACAGTTAGTTCAAAAACAAAAAAGATATACTGGCCCAAGTTATGTGGACTAAAACGGAGAGCTGCAACCACATGTGCTTTTTACAAGGGAATGCACCCTGCGGAGTAATTGTCAAAAACAGTAACAACAAGAAGTCCAAAGGCAGCTAGTTGAGGTTTTCTATTATGGGTGTCTGGTAAAGGGTAGATGATGTTTCTGTCATGTTCTGGTATCGGGTAGATGATGTTTCTATCATGTTCTGGTATCGGGTAGATGATGTTTCTATCATGTTCTGGTATCGGGTAGATGATGTTTCTATCATGTTCTTACTTACTTTGATCCATGTTTTCAGGGATCTGGAACAGGACCTCTTTTGACAGCAACTGTTTTGCAGGCATTGATCAGAGTTCAGCCCCTGGCTACAACCAATGTAAGCTGTGTGTTAGTGTTTCTGAAATAAAATAGACATACACTAGGGTGTAACAGTGTAGGAAATGTGAAAACCATATATGAATGAATGTTGACAGAAGACACAAGGTTAGATGAAAAAAAAAAACGTGTGTCAAAATTTGCGAACAAAGAATTAGGAGAGGATCTGGCAAGGCTGGGTGTATTAGAGGAAGAGAATGACATGAGTATAATCAGGCGCTACGGGAACAGTTAGCATCTGCACCTTAACACATTTGCTGCAACATCTGCGGGCACGCCCGGCCTGCTATGATGTGGAGTCTTAAATCAGCAAATGAGTATCAGTTTAGGTAACACACTTGCTAAGTGTTGAGTTGAGCAGAGTTGAGAACTTACATCACATCACTTTGGACATTCCCATAAGCACTGTGTTCTCATCATCAGCAGCCAGCACAGAGTTCCAATTCAAGTGGCAGCAGTCTGAGTACTTTCCAATACCTTTCTCCCTACTGAGTATTAGCCTGATCCCCTGGTCACACCCCCCTGCACTGTTCTATTCAAATTGTGTTGTTCTCTTTGTGCCTACTGGCTGCCAAAAGGTCTTGACCACATTTAGCTTATCATACATCAAGTCATCATCCAATGATGCAAAACCAGCCAAAAGGTTTGTCTGTTCGTTTCCCAACACACCTGTATGGCCACGAGAAAATATCCAAAGGATGTAACTCATGCAAGTGGGGTAAAGTCTGTCTTTCTCTCTCTCTCTCTCTCTCTCTCTCTCTCTCTCTCTCTCTCTCTCTCTCTCTCTCTCTCTCTCTCTCTCTCTCTCTCTCTCTCTCAATATATATATATATATATATTAAGTAAAGTTAGTTTGCATGAAATGTATGAATGCAACAAGTTAAGACAAGTAAGCTGGTATGATAATGTCGTTATTTTGAAACATATATTTAGTATGTATGATAGGTATAGTTTGGGTGTATAATATAGTTAATGTGTATGATAGTTATAGTTAATGTGTACAATCAGTATAGTTATTATGTAAATAGGTATGGTTAGTGTGCATTACAGGTATAGTAAGTGTGTACAATATAGTTAAAATGTATGGTAGGTACAGTTAATGTATATGATAGGTATAAATTAATGTCTGATTTGATCATTGTAGCAAGCGGGCACAGTCAAATAGCTAGTGTATTTTAGTATAGTTAATGTTTATGACAGCATAGCTAAAATGTATAGTAAGTTTAACTAATTGATATATTAAGTAAAGCTAGTGAGTGTGATAAAATAGTGCGTGAGATTCTATACCTAGTGTGTTTGAGTTTAGTTAATGTATATATGATAGTATAGCTAAAAGGTATAGTAAGTTTAATTAGTTGATATTATAAGTGTAGCTAGAGTGTGTATGAAACTATAGGTAGCCTGTTTGAGTATAGTTAATATGTATGACAGTATAGCTAAAACTAGTTGATGCTATAGCTAATGTGTGTGATAAAATATCTAGTGTGTATGAAACTATAGGTAGCGTGTTTGAGTATAGTTAATATGTATGACAGTATAGCTAAAACTAGTTGATGCTATAGCTAATGTGTGTGATAAAATATCTAGTGTGTATGAAACTATAAGCTAGTGTGTATGATACTGTTGTTTTTGTTGTTTGTCCATCTCAACTGATGGTGATCACTTTCTTTCATTCATCAAGAAGCTATAGTTGACTGTCTGTGAGTCCGGGGGTGTATTATAATCCCCATAACGGCCTACAATGATCTAGGACAATAAGGGCAGGAAACAGTGTCTTTAAGTAAGGGGTCTGTTATATGGGTCTTTTAGCCTGCCTGCAATGCCATACTCAGATTCCTCACAAGTCACTGCATTTTTTCGGATAGACACTCACCATATTGTCTGGTCTTATGCAGCAGGCTCCCACGTGTCAGGGTTTATAGTGAAGACTTTAAGTCATGCCTCCCACGTATCAGGGTTTATAGTGAAGACTTTAAGTGATGCCTCCCACGTGTCAGGGTTTATAGTGAAGACTTTAAGTGATGCCCCCCACATGTCAGGGTTTATAGTGAAGACTTTCAGTGATGCCTCCCACGTATCAGGGTTTATAGTGAAGACTTTCAGTGATGCCTCCTAGGTGTCAGGGTTTATAGTGAAGACTTTAAGTGATGCCTCCCACATGTCAGGGTTTATAGTGAAGACTTTAAGTGATGCCTCCCACGTGTCAGGGTTTATAGTGAAGACTTTAAGTGATGCCCCCCACATGTCGGGGTTTATAGTGAAGACTTTAAGTGATGCCTCCCACGTGTCAGGGTTTATAGTGAAGACTTTAAGTGATGCCTCCCACGTGTCAGGGTTTATAGTGAAGACTTTAAGTGATGCCTCCCATGTGTCAGGGTTTATAGTGAAGACTTTAAGTGATGCCTCCCACGTGTCAGGGTTTATAGTGAAGACTTTAAGTGATGTCTCCCACGTGTCAAGGTTTATAGTGAAGACTTTAAGTGATGCCTGCCACATGTCAGGGTTTGTAGTGAAGACTTTAAGTGATGCTTTTGGCACGTCTTTAAAGGTTTTTTTTTCTGACCAACATGAGAGGTGTCTACCTTCCTGTATCTCACCATACAAGATTTTGGGAGGGGGGGGGGGCTGATGGTTTGGCAAGTGACCTGCCCATTGAATCTGTGCCTGCATCAGGATAGTTTCCATGCTAAGATTGCCAGCCAGCTCTATCCATTATGACAGTATGATAATAATATAGCTAGTGTGTATGACAGACACTATACCTAATGTGTATAATAATATAGCTAGTGTGTATGACAGACACTATACCTAGTGTGTATGATAATATAGCTAGTGTGTATGAGACTATACCTAGTGTGTATGATAATATAGCTAGTGTGTATGAGACTATACCTAGTGTGTATGATAATATAGCTAGTGTGTTTAAGACTATACCTAGTGTGTATGATAATATAGCTAGTGTGTATGAGACTATACCTAGTGTGTATGATAATATAGCTAGTGTGTATGAGACTATACCTAGTGTGTATGATAATATAGCTAGTGTGTATGAGACTCTACCTAGTGTGTCCGTGATAATATAGCTAGTGTGTATGAGACTATACCTAGTGTGTATGATAATATAGCTAGTGTGTATGAGACTATACCTAGTGTGTATGATAATATAACTAGTGTGTATGAGACTATACCTAGTGTGTATGATAATATAGCTAGTGTGTATGAGACTATACCTAGTGTGTATGATAATATAGCTAGTGTGTATGAGACTATACCTAGTGTGTATGATAATATAGCTAGTGTGTATGACAGACACTATACCTAGTGTGTATGATAATATAGCTAGTGTGTATGACAGACACTATACCTAGTGTGTATGATAATATAGCTAGTGTGTATGAGACTATACCTAGTGTGTATGATAATATAGCTAGTGTGTATGAGACTATACCTAGTGTGTGTGATAATATAGCTAGTGTGTATGAGACTATACCTAGTGTGTATGATAATATAGCTAGTGTGTATGAGACTATACCTAGTGTGTATGATAATATAGCTAGTGTGTATGAGACTATACCTAGTGTGTATGATAATATAGCTAGTGTGTATGAGACTATACCTAGTGTGTATGATAATATAGCTAGTGTGTATGAGACTATACCTAGTGTGTATGATAATATAGCTAGTGTGTATGACAATATAGCTAGTGTGTATGACAATATAGCTAGTGTGTATGACTATATAGCTAGTGTGTATGACAATAAAGCTAGTGTATATGACAATATAGCTAGTGTGTATGACAATATACCTAGTGTGTATGACAATAAAGCTAGTGTATATGACAATATAGCTAGTGTGTATGACAATATAGCTAGTGTGTATGACAATATACCTAGTGTGTATGACAATAAAGCTAGTGTATATGACAATATAGCTAGTGAGTATGACAATATAGCTAGTGTGTATGATAATATAGCTAGTGTGTATGACAATATACCTAGTGTGTATGATAATATAGCTAGTGTGTATGACAATATAGCTAGTGTGTATGACAATATAGCTAGTGTGTATGACAATATAGCTAGTGTGTATGAGACTATACCTAGTGTGTATGACAATATAGCTAGTGTGTATGAGACTATACCTAGTGTGTATGACAATATAGCTAGTGTGTATGACAATATAGCTAGTGTGTATGAGACTATACCTAGTGTGTAGGATAATATAGCTAGTGTGTATGAGACTCTACCTAGTGTGTCCATGATAATATAGCTAGTGTGTATGAGACTATACCTAGTGTGTGTGATAATATAGCTAGTGTGTATGAGACTATACCTAGTGTGTGTGATAATATAGCTAGTGTGTGTGATAATATAGCTAGTGTGTGTGATAATATAGCTAGTGTGTGTGATAATATAGCTAGTGTGTATGATAATATAGCTAGTGTGTGTGATAATATAGCTAGTGCGTGTGACAATATAGCTAGTGTGTGTGATAATATAGCTAGTGTATGTGATAATATAGCTAGTGTGTGTGATAATATAACTAGTGTGTGTGATAATATAGCTAGTATGTGTGATAATCTAACTAGTGTGTATGATAATATAGCTAGTGTGTGTGATAATATAGCTAGTGTGTATGACACTATAACTAGTGTGTGTGATAATATAGCTAGTGTGTGTGATAATATAGCTAGTGTATGTGATAATATAGCTAGTGTATGTGATAATATAGCTAGTGTGTGTGATAATATAGCTAGTGTGTGTGATAATATAGCTAGTGTATGTGATAATATAGCTAGTGTGTGTGATAATATAACTAGTGTGTATGATAATATAGCTAGTGTGTGTGATAATATAGCTAGTGTGTATGACACTATAACTAGTGTGTGTGATAATATAACTAGTGTGTATGACACTATACCTAGTGTGTGTGTGATAATATAACTAGTGTGTATGACACTATACCTAGTGTGTGTGTGATAATATAACTAGTGTGTATGACACTATACCTAGTGTGTGTGTGATAATATAACTAGTGTGTATGACACTATACCTAGTGTGTATGACACTATACCTAGTGTGTATGACAATATAGCTAGTGTGTATGACACTATACCTAGTGTGTGTGTGATAATATAACTAATGTGTATGACACTATACCTAGTGTGTATGACACTATACCTAGTGTGTGTGTGATAATATAACTAGTGTGTATGACACTATACCTAGTGTGTGTGTGATAATATAACTAGTGTGTATGACACTATACCTAGTGTGTATGACACTATACCTAGTGTGTATGACAATATAGCTAGTGTGTATGACACTATACCTAGTGTGTGTTTGATAATATAACTAGTGTGTATGACACTATACCTAGTGTGTGTGTGATAATAAAACTAGTGTGTATGACACTGTACCTAGTGTGTATGACACTATACCTAGTGTGTATGACAATATAGCTAGTGTGTATGACACTATACCTAGTGTGTATGATAATATAACTAGTGTGTATGACACTATACCTAGTGTGTATGACAATATAGCTAGTGTGTATGACACTATACCTAGTGTGTATGACACTATACCTAGTATGTGTGATAATATAACTAGTGTGTATGACACTATACCTAGTGTGTATGACACTATACCTAGTGTGTATGACACTATACCTAGTATGTGTTATAATATAACTAGTATGTATGACACTATACCTAGTGTGTATGACAATATAGCTAGTGTGTATGACACTATACCTAGTGTGTATGACACTATACCTAGTGTGTATGACACTATACCTAGTGTGTATGAAACTATACGTAGTGTGTATGACACTATACCTAGTATGTGTGATAATATAACTAGTATGTATGATACTATACCTAGTGTGTGTGTGATAATATAACTAGTGTGTATGATAATATAGCTAGTGTGTATGATAATATAGCTAGTGTGGTTGACAATATAGCTAGTGTGTATGATATTATAGCTAATGTAAAGGGCAATATAGAAAGTGTGTGTGTGTGTGTGTGTGTGTGTGTGTGTGTGTGTGCATGAGACAATATAACTATTATGTATAAGTATAAGAACTACATATTTACACATATTATTTTGAAGTGTGCTGCCAACATTGAGTGCTATAGAGCAACCAGGTGGGCAAATGCAACAGCTAACGCAATCAGAAACCTGGAGAGTTTGGTGGACAGTGATTCTATCAACGATCAGCTTTCCCTGGCATCGGTCAGCTACTCACTAGCACTGGCCAACAGCAGCAGCAGTGCTGAAAAGGCGTTCGCCAAATTGCTGACATATGCTCGCAAGGAAGGTAATTATTGATCTTCTTCTTCTTCATGTTCACCAGCTGTAAACTCTGGCAGAAAATTCTGGTTGTTCATCCACTTTTGGACTGCAGTCCTGTTCCAGAACCTGAGTGTTGCGTTTGCATCCGTTTTACAGATCTGACTCATTTGTATGCAGACTGCTGGTTCCTTGCCTCTCAGGCAGACGCACTCCGACTTTAAAGGAAGCTCCCAATTAGTCGACTCTTACAACATGCTTCTGGGTAGGCAGGGGTTCTATTCTTGTTTTTCTTATAATAGGGCCCCGGAACCCACACGGTGAGTAATTATTGATGTTTTTCTTGACTATAAAGCCATATAAGCTTTCTTCTTTGCAGTGCATTTCCTTCCATTGGCTTGGTAACATTGCAGACGGTTGTGGCTATGAATGTCCTAGTAGGGAGTGACTAACTACACAGTAAAGTCAGCTATGACCTGGCTTAGTCTTAGTCTTAGTTGAGATTTTGACTTTACTGCACTCACATCACCCCATACTTGCTCCGTTCCTATGCCTGTAGAAATAAAACGTAAAGTCCCACACTATCCCATCTGAAAAACTGGTAAACAAATAATGAATCCCGGCACAATCCAGAAATATGTGCATGCGGTAAATGCATAAGGCTGTTGCTAGAGGTGTCAAAGCCAATATTTTCCACAGAAATTGCAATCTGTAGTTGATGGGAGTAGTCAGTCATGTAAGTTGGCTATATTCGCATACAGCTATTACATAAGGTATTTATGCGTATACCAGTTACCATCTGTATCGTAATTTTTTTTTTTTATACATCATGATGTCTTACTATTGTGTGAACATTTTATTCAGGTATAATCCATGTTGCCTGTTTGCTTGTCTGCCTGTCTATCTGTAGGTCTGCCTGCCTGTCTATCTGTAGGTCTGCCTGCCTGTCTATCTGTAGGTCTGCCTGCCTGTCTATCTGTAGGTCTGCCTGCATGTCTATCAGTAGGTCTGCCTGCCTGTCTATCTGTAGGTCTGCCTGCCTGTCTATCTGTAAGTCTGCCTGCTTGTCTATCTGTAGGTCTGCCTGCATTTTGCACACTTTATGACTATCTGCTGTACATTTTCTACAAAGTACAGCAGCAGTTAAACCTAGACCCATCTCCATGAAATATCCTACAATTTGTGAGAAAAGAGAGACAGCTGTATGTTACTGGGATGTAATCTGTTTAAGATAGTCCAAATGTTACTGGGGTGTAGTCTGTTTAAGGAAGACTGTATGTTACTGGGAGGTGATCTGTTTGAGGAAGTCTGTCTGTTTATGGGATGTGATCTGTTTAAGGTAGTCCATATGTTACTGGGATGTGATCTGTTTAAGGGTTTCCTTATGTTACTGGGATGTGATCTGTTTAAGGAAATCTGTATGTTACTGGGGTATGATCTGTTTAAGTAGCCTGTCTATTACTGGGATCGGATCTGTTTAAGGAAGTCTTTCTGTTACTGGGATGTGACCTGTTTGATGAATTCTGTCTGTCCTTATGTTACTGGGGTGTGATCTGTTTAAGGAAGTCTATATGTTACTGGGGTGTGATCTGTTTAAGGAAGTCTATATGTTACTGGGGTGTGATCTGTTTAAGGAAGTCTATATGTTACTGTGTTGTGACCTGTTTAAGGAAGTCTATATGTTACTGGGATGGGATCTGTTTTAGGAAGTCTATATGTTACTGGGGTGTGATCTGTTTAAGGAAGTCTATATGTTACTGGGGTGTGATCTGTTTAAGGAAGTCTATATGTTACTGTGTTGTGACCTGTTTAAGGAAGTCTATATGTTACTCGGATGGGATCTGTTTTAGGAAGTCTGTTACTGGGATGTAACTTGTTTAAGGAAGTCTGTCTGTTTATGGGATGTAATCTGTTTAAGGAAGTCTGTATGTTACTGGGATGGGATCTGCTTAAGGAAGACATATCTGTTGCTAAAATTTGATCTGTTGCTGGAATCTAACCACTTTACAGTTTAGCCACTGACAGCAATGCCACATGTCTGTTACAGTGACACCAATGCCATATGTCTGTCACAGTGACAGCAATGCCACATGTCTGTTACAGTGACACCAGTGCTACATGTCTGTCACAGTGACACCAGTGCCACATGTCTGTTACAGTGACACCAGTGCCACATAGCTGTCACAGTGACACCAGTGCCACATGTCTGCTGTAGTGTCATTTGTCTGATGTATGTAATCTGAATTATTCTGTCACCAGGACGTCTAACTTACTGGGCTGACAACTCAACCATAAAAAACAATGAGGTTTCTGAATTCTTGAATTGGCGTCCACCTAGAGTCCAAGCTAGGTCAAATGCGGTCTTAATTACGTCTTATGCAATCCTTTACCAAATTGTGCTGAATAAACTTGAACAAGCCTTCTCATCTGTCCTGTGGCTTACCATCCAAAGAAACGCATATGGAGGCTTCGTTTCTACACAGGTACACCACCATATTTATTTTCTGACATATTATATATTTTTAACATAAATTGTCTTTACTATTTGTAAGTTAAAAAAAATAATCTATTGGGTATATAGGGCTAGACCTATATTTTATAGATCAATCAGCAATTGTAAGTGATTTGGTCAACATAACCCCGGCCACCTTTACTTCCCAGAACTGCACCTGGTACCTGTCTCAGGCTGTAAGCAAGCATTTAACTATATCAGTATTTAACATCTCTGTCTGGGTTCTGGGGTCTGGATTATATCAGTATATATCCCTGTGTGGGTTCTGGGGCCCTGGATTATATCAGTGGTCTATATCCCTGAGTGGGTTCTGGGGCCCTGGATTATATCAGTATATATCCCTGTGTGGGTTTTAGGGCCCTGGATTATATCAGTATATATCCCTGTGTGGGTTTTAGGGCCCTGGATTATATCAGTATATATCCCTGTGTGGGTTTTAGGGCCCTGGATTATATCAGTATATATCCCTGTGTGGGTTTTAGGGCCCTGGATTATATCAGTATATATCCCTGTGTGGGTTCTGGGGCCCTGGGTTATATCAGTAGTATATATCACTGTGTGGGTTCTGGGGCCCTCTATTATATCAGTAGTCTATATCCCTGTGTGGGTTCTGAGGCCCTGGATTATATCAGTAGTATATATCCCTGTGTGAGTTCTGGGGCCCTGGATTACATCAGTCTATATCCCTGTGTGGGTTTTGGGACCCTGGATTATGTCAGAGTCTATATCCCTATGTGGGTTCTGGGGCCCTGGACTATGTCAGAGCCTATATCCCTGTGTGGGTTCTGGGGCCCTGGATTATATCAGTCTATATCTCTGTGTGGGTTCTGGAGGCCCATTTTAAGGTGAAAAAAAACACTAACCCCCCCTCCCCCTTTTTCACCTTCCTCATCCCCACCCCATTCTTTAACAGACATAAGCATGTTTTGGATCAATAAATTATCATCGGATGCGGTATTACAAACAAAATATTAGGACAGCTTCTTTTTACAAAACAAGAAAATTTATTTTGGATCAGCACAAAGGAACATCTCAAATAAAACATAATCATTCAAACAATATGCTACCAGTGCCAGACATGGTCTCTCACAACAAAATGGAAAAGAAAATAAATAACCATGGAAAAGAGATGTCTGAGAAGGGTGGAAGGGGGGGGGGGGGGGCAGGATTGACCAGAAGAGATAAAATCAGAAATAAGGTCATCAGAGAACAAGTTGACACAGAACCAATTATAAATTACATACGTACAAAGATAGCAAATCAAATGGTTCGTCCACTGACAGACAATGCTTTGTGACACCATGTCATACAAGGCACACGCTAAAAGTGCAGAAGGAGGCAAAGCACAAAGAGACCAAGAACAAGAGGGAAAGATTACGTCAGAGACACTCTACAACAGCACAATGGCTTTATAGAGGAGGTGACCAGAAGAGCAAGAAATAGAACATTATATATCCATTGAGACTCAAAGCTGTGAATAAGGGAGTACTGAAGTGTTTCTTGGTCATAAATTCTGCAAATTTAGCTTTATATTTCAGGTTATCAGTTTATCTATCAGTGCCAAAAATGGGCACTTACATCCTCCAATGAATGAAAACTTGTGACAACAGAGATGAAATGCCTAAAAAGAGATGCAGGAGTTTCAAAGAAAGACAGAATATGAAATCAGAAGAATGCTAGGAATAAAGCCAGTCTCACAAGTCATCAAAGAACAACAAATGAAGTGGTTTGGACACCTAACAAGAATGCCCTAGTACTATCTGCCACAATGAGCCACACTAAAACGTTATAACCGGTATAGAGTGAGAGGAAGACCCTGGAAAATATTAAGTAACGGCATCAAGAACGGCCTTACAGAAATGAACATCAGTCTTAATAGTGCTCTTGACAGAGCTCATCAGTGAATGTTACACCCCTCCCCCCCCTTTCCTGACGAGGTCCAAGTTTGAAGAGAAGAAGAAGTTGGGCTTCCAATGTCTTGCAAAGGAATCACACCATAATTTCTGCGTCTGAGAAAATCATACAAAATTCCCATCGCTGCCCTAATGGAAAAATCGAACTGACAGCTATCCCGACAAAATTCAACAGCCTAGTCTTCATGCATCAAATACATAAGGTAGCTGCTAGAGATGCCATCACCTACAGTCTGTTACTAGAATTCCTGTTTATTTTTGATGAAAGGGGCAGTCACAACAAACTAGCAGGTGGACACATATTACATCATGAAGTACACTATCACTTCTGCGGCAACCAGTCACTCACCATTTTTAAAAAATAATATAGTTTACAACACAGGCCTAGCATGGACAGTAAGCATTATCCTTTAGCTTTAATTGTGTGTATATATATATATATATATATATATATATATATATACACATTAGTACTTTGAGTAACCAACTTAATTCGTTCTTTGACACAGTTCGTAAGCCAAAATTTTTGCAAGCCGAATCAGTTTTTCTACTGAAATCAATTTAATTCAGTTAACCTCTTTGCCTGCCCCCCAGAAACATATT